CACTCTTATAAGTAATAAGATGTTCATCTCTTTTCTTGAATAAAGTATTAGTAATAACAAAATCATACGCTAAAACAAAATCTAAAATAGCTCTATCTTCTTCATTAGTTACTCCAAAGCCGTAGCCACCATGAGTATTTTTTAAGTCTTCTACCACTCTACCAACATGTCCATTTAAATCTCCTACAATAAAAATTCTTTCTTCAAGAGATATCATTTGTAGTAAGTCTTCTAAGTCATTCCAAAATTTATTTTTAGTTCCTGTATCTAAAACCTACTTGAGGAGAATAAGCACTTATAATATTAAAAATCTTAATATCAAAGATAATCTTAGGGCTATAATTTTATCTCCTACTCTATTAATTTTTACAACATTATCTTTCAAACTTTTATCTATAATTACACCTACATTTCTAGTGCGACTCTTACCAGAAAACTAAAGTTTAAAACCTAAATTATCAATCTCCTTAGTCTATCAATCTCCTTAGTCAATCTCCTTAGTCATTTCTCCAACCCATTTAGTTTCTTGAATACAAAAGATATTAATTTTCCTATTAATCATAATATCAATTAGTTTCATTAATTTATCATTGAGAGTATCTATAATCCAACATCCTATCCTAATATTAGTTTCATTAGTTTCATGGACTAGCTTCTTTACCCGCATTCGTCTGTAATGTGGGAACCCTTGCTTATTTGACACTACACTCGGGCGCCGGTACAGCGGCCCTTGCACACTTTTCACTGTATTCAGGCTATACAGCGCATCGCTTCCAGGGGATGCCCTAGCACTTATACAACGATCAAAAGAATTCATGTCATGTTTTTTTTTGACAAGTTTTACACTGGCTGTCAACTACCTAACGCAACTCTCTACTTTTCAAAGTCGGGCTTCGGATCGACAATGACAGTGTTAAACTGAGAAAAGAAGATGTCCTTGATGAGCCTCATAGAAATAAGAGCTGCAAAAAAAGAGGGAATTTGTCTCATTGTTCACATGACAAAGGACACATGCTCTTAAAGTGAAGTCCCTGGCAAAGAAAATATATGCATTTTAAAACTATTTCGATAATTCATTCATATCTAAACTGAATATCTAAAGGAGAATTATTTATGCCACGAAAATTTAGTCCAATAAAAATCAGAAGTATCAAAATATGTAACTGTCTTGGCACAAGCAGGGAAAATCATTTTACATTCTCAAAAAGCTTATCCATATCAGGATAAATGGAAATACAAGCTAAGAGTTTCAACAAATGTAGAAGGCCTGAGAAGAAATCATTTGCCATTCAAAATAAAAGAGCTGATTCAAGTAAAATCTATGGTAAGGCACAAAAGCAAGTTAACCTTTGAATATGGTCAAAAAGGAAATTAACCTGAGGACCCAAAACCTTAGGCCCTAAGAGAATAATTATTTCCCCAAGAATCATGAAAAAATAAAAATCATGTCCATGACAACTGGAATTATATGCTCATTTAAGTGTATATCTATATGCTGGAACTCCTATTTATAGCAAGGGCACCTCATCCGATAGAATCATAGCTAGAATTCAACATGCAGTAGGGTGATCAACTTCATGATATAATTTTCAAAAAAAAAAAAACAAAATCATTTTTCAAGTGGAATTGAGGACATTGAGAGAGGGAAAATCAATCCACCTATAGATTTGGGAAGAGTGGTTTGATGCCAAGAGATAATGTGAAGTTTATTAGGGAAACCATTATTCAAACAAAGTCGAGAAGTGCAACAAATAACTTTTTTTATAACAATTTACGAAAATATAATGATCTAAACCAATATGTTAGGTAGCCCTAGATTTGATACATTATTGTCTACATGCAAATGCTAGTAGCTTACATGTCCAATGCTAGCTGCATGTAATTCCTTCAAGCAAAGGTAAGGAATCCTTGAAGAAGTGTTTGGACCTCCAACATACTTAGACAGAAGAGAGCCAAATTTGATACCAACGAGTTCACGCAAAATGCTGGAATCGGTCACTCTAAAAAAGATTGAAGATTTATTTGTGTTAATAAAAAAAGACAATAATCTTTCCAAATGAAGCTAAATATTCCTTCAGGACGCTAACAATAATTAGCATTGCCAAAGCCCAACAACTTGCCAGCATACAAAAGAAGGTTAAATTGAAATTCTCTCTAAACAATACTATTTTCAATAAGGCAACAATGAGAGTCATGACAAATGTGAAAAGGAATGGCATCCTTTGCCTCGAACCATAGATAGATTGCAAATAACCATAAAACACCCCATTAATAATAACCAAGAAAA